GGGGGGGGGGGGCCAAGCAGGAAAAGCATAAGCTCCACGTGTCCTCCCCACAGAGACCCAGTGGGCCTCAACACCCACCCGCCCCCAGCCTCCACCTTGCCCAGCTCTGCCAGCACCCCCTGCAGCAAGGAGCAGCCACGAGTGTGGACAGGGAAACCCAGCGCCAGGCTCCCTCTGCACCGCCCGGCCTCAGAGGGTGCCACCTCCACCCGGGCAGGGGTCCAAGCCCGCTGGAAGGGGCCGTTCCCCAATTCGGGAGTGCCCCAGGTGATTAACCTCTCCCCTACCTTTCAGGACGTGCAGCGAGGTTCCCTGCTTCAGGTCCCAGATGCGCATGGTCCCGTCCTCATATCCCACCACCGCTCGCTTCCCTGGGCGAGACAGAGCCAGCGGATAGAGCTAGAGCTCCCCTCGTCCCTCCACACCCTGCTCAGCACAGACTGCCAGAAGCAGGATGGCAGGCGGTGGCCGTGGGATCTGTCACCGAGCTGGTGACACCACGCACCCCGGACAGCCCCGCGGCCTCACCATCAGGCAGGATCCTGCCACACGTGGCCGGGCACGCAGGGCCCTGGAAGGTTTTGCAATCTCCGCTGGGGATCTTCCACATCCAGGAGTTGCCATCGGCCGTGCCCGCCAGAAGGACGTGGGCCTGGGGGGGCCCCTCATCCACTGGGCAGAGAGAGGGACATGTAGCGTCACGGGGGGGAGCGTGTCCCCCCACCCACCCAGCTGAGTCCCAGCTGCCGGCTTACGAGCTCCCCATGGCACCAGCGGTGCCGCCACTCACCTCCAAGTCCCCCACCTCGAAGGACCACACTTCTTCTTTGGCATCCACCCGCCACACTTTGATAAGCCCAGACATGTCACCCGTGGCCACAAACACGGAGTCGTGACTGAAGCCAGCACAGGTGACCGAGTCCTTGTGTCCTAGCGACGTCGGGGGACAGAGAGCGCTCAGGCCAAGCGACAGAGGACGGTCAGGAGCCTGGCTCCAGCCGAGCGCTGGCTGGGAGAGGACACGGCCTGGAGCACCTCACCTGAGCACTCGAACAGGAGCTCTCCGTCGCTCACGCGCCACACGAAGGCCTTGTCGTCCTCCCCGCCCGTCACTGCCAGCGTGTTGGTCTTGGGGTCGAGGCTCACGCAGAAAACAGAAGCTTCACAGAGGAGTGAAGAGAAGCTGCAGGGCTGGGACGCCGCTCGCACCCCACCCAAGGTTCCCAGTGGATCCACGCAGCGCCGGGTCCGGGCGGGACGTCAGTGAGCTGAGCTCCCGACCCACACCAGTGGGAAACGGTTCTTCCCGGGTGGGGAAGAGCAGCACAGGCTGTGTGCCGAGCTCAGGGCGAGCGGCCGCGGCCAGAGGCTGGGAG